CATTCCGCCCTCCCTCCCAACCCTAACAACTACTACATCCACTTTTTGTCTTGATGAATTACCTGGGCATTTCATAGAAATGGGATCCTACCATATGGAGTCCTTTGCGTCTGGCTTCTTGCACTTAGCACAGCGTTTCTGGGTCTTCTTTGCTGCAGTATATATCAGGGCTTCATTTAATGAATAATGTTCCACTGGATAATACAACCATGCATCGCTTCATGACGAGGATATGTTCTGAGAAACGAGTCCTTAGGCGATTTCATTGTTGTGTGAACATCATAGAATGTGTTTATACAAACCTAGATGGTAGAGTCTACTACACACCTAGGGTATAGGGTACAGGCTATTGCTCCTAGGTTACAAACTTGCACAGTCTGCTGAAAACTGTAGGCAATTGTAGCACAATGATAAATATTCGTGTATCTAAACATAGAAAAGATACAGTAAAAATACGGTATGACAGTCAGGTGTCCTGGCTCCTGCCTGTAATCCCAGCACTTTGGGAGGCCAAGGCACGTGGATCACTTGAGGTCAGGAGTTCGAGACCAACCTGGCCAACATGATGAAATCCTGACTTTACTAAAAATACAAAAATTAGCTGGACATGGTGGTGCACACCTGTAATCCCAGCTATTCAGGAAGTTGAGGCAGGAAAATCACTTGAACCCAGGAGGTGGAGGGTGCAGCGAGCTGAGATTGTGCCAGTGCACCCCAGCCTGGGCAACAGAGTGAGACCTTCTCTAAAACAAACAAACAAAACAAAACAACAAACAAACAAAAAACGGTATTATAATCTTATGGGACCACTGTCATACATGTGGTCAGTGGTTGATGGAACTGTTACGTGGTGCATGACTGTACCATATATATATATTTTTTGACAGAGTCTCACAGAGTCTCACTCTTTTCGCCCAGGCTGGAGTGCAGTGGCATGATCTTGGCTCACTGCAACCTCCACCTCCCAGGTTCAAGCAATTGTCCTGCCTCACCCTCCCGAGTAGCTGAGATTACAGGCACCTGCCACCACACCCGGCTAATTTTTACATTTTTGTAGAGACAGGGTTTCTCCATGTTGGCCAGGCTGGTCTCAAACTCCTGACCTCAGGTGATCCGGTCCACCTCAGCCTCCCAAAGTGCTGGCATTATAGGCATGAGCCACTGTGCCAGGCTGACTGTACCATATATGTTTATTCATTTATCCTGACTGGAAGTGATGGCTCATGCTTATAATCCCAGCACTTTGGGAAGCTGAGGCAGGAGGATTGCTTGACCCAGAAATTTAAGACCAGCCTGGGCAATATAGTGAGACCCCATCTCTCTTTTAAAAAATACATATCCATGGCCAGGCGCGGTGGCTCAAGCCTGTAATCCCAGCACTTTGGGAGGCCGAGACGGGCGGATCACGAGGTCAGGAGATCGAGACCATCCTGGCTAACACGGTGAAACCCCGTCTCTACTAAAAACACAAAAAACTAGCCGGGCGAGGTGGCGGGCGCCTGTAGTCCCGGCTACTCGGGAGGCTGAGGCAGGAGAATGGCGTGAACCCGGGAGGCGGAGCTTGCAGTGAGCTGAGATCCGGCCACTGCACTCCAGCCCGGGCGACAGAGCAAGACTCCGTCTCAAAAAAAAAAAAAAAAAAAAAAAAAAATACATATCCAGCTGAGTGCAGTGGCTCATGCCTATAATCAGCACTTTGGGAGGCCGAGGCGGGTGGATCACTTGAGGTCAGGAGTTTGAGACCAGCCTGGCCAACATGATGAAGTCGCGTCTACACTAAAAATACAAAAATTACCCGGGCATGGTGGTGCACGCCTGAAGTCCCAGCTACTCGGGAGGCTGAAGCAGGAGAATGGCTTGAACCCAGGAGGTGGAGGTTGCAGTGAGCCAAGATTGCACCTTTGCACTCCAGTCTGGGCAGCAGAGTGAGACTGTCTCAAAACAAAAACAAAAACATAAACAAAACAAACAAAAAACCCATTCATCTGCTCATGGACATTTGGGTTATTTCTACTTTCTGGCTATTGTGAATAGTGCTGCTGTGAACATTTACACAGAAGTGTTTGTGTGGCCATGTTTTGATTTCTCTTGCAAACCTGGCCCAGTCGCAGTGTGTGCAACACTCCTGCTCCACACCCTCCCATTGCTCGAAGCAGTCCCCCAGGAGTTGACCCTTTCCAGCACCTCTTCAGCATGCCAGTTCCAGCATCTGCTCCATTCCTTCACAGCTTCATCACCCCTGACATTGTGTTCCATGCGCTTTGTCTGTGGCCTTTCTCCCACTAGCAGGTCAGCTCTCCAAAAGCAGGCATCACTGTCTGGTTCATGGCTGTCTCCCCAGAGCCTAGAATAGGGCTGTCCACAGCAGATGCTCAATAAATGTTCATTGAAATGATGAACAAACCAATTATTGGCACACTCTTCTCTCCAATCCCCTGTATCCAAACCAGAACCGAATTCTGTCAATGTTTTGTTCTAGAGTGTTGCTCTGTTGCCCAGGCTGGAGTGCAGTGGCATGACCTCGGCTCAATGCAACCTCTGCCTCCCGGATTCAAGCGATTCTCCTGTCTCAACCTACCACCATGCCTGGCTAATTTTTGTATTTTTAGTAGAGACAGTGTTTCAGCATGTTGGCCAGGCTGGCCTTGAACTCTTGACCTCAAGTAATCTGCCTGCCGTGGTCTCCCAAAGTGCTAGGATTACAGGCATTTGCCACCATGGATTTCAGTCCTCCTGCCTGCAGAGCCAGGAGTTCGAGACCAGCCTGGCCAGCATGGTGAAATTCGTCTCTACTGAAAACACACACACACACACAAAGTAGCTGGGTGAGGTGGTGTGCACCTGCAGTTCAGCTACGTGGTAGGCTGAGGCAAGAGAATTGCTTGAGCCTGGGAGGCGCAGGTTGCAGTGAACTGAGATCGCGCCACTGCACTCCAGCCTCGGCGAAAGAGCAAGACTCTGTCTCAAAAAAGAAAAAAAAGGAGAGAGAGAAAAGGTGGAGTCCCTCACACTTCTAGCCCTGGGCCCTGGCTACCTGGCTGACCTGGCTGACCATCTTAGCAAGGCGGTCAAAGGCCCAGGCATTGGGTGTCTGGAGTGGTCTGGGGATGGAGAAGTCTTCCGGGGAGTATTTGCATACTGAGTCAGCATGAGACGCAACTTCTCCTTCTGTGATTTCTTCCTCATCCTCTGTATTAGTTTCCCGTTTCCTGTAAAAAATTGCCACAAGTTCAGTGGCTTAAAACAACACAAGTTTTTTTTATCTTACAGTTCTGGAGGTCAAGAATCCAAAAGGGGCCTTGCTGTACTAAAGCCAAGGTTTCAGTGGGACTGTTGCTTTCTGGAGGTTCTAGGAAGAGAATCCATTTTCTTGCCTTTCCCCAATTCTGATTTTTTTTTTTTTTTTTTTTTTTTTTTTGAGACAAAGTCTTGCTCTGTCACCCAGGCTGGAGTGCAATGGCATGACCTTGGCTCACTGCAACCTCCGCCTCCTGGGTTCAAGCGATTCTCCGGCCTCAGCCTCCCCAGTAGCTGGGATTACAGGTGCCTGCTACCATGCCTGGCTAATTTTTGTATGTTTGGTAGAGACGGGGTTTCCCCTTGCTGGCCAGGCTGGTTCTTGAACTCCTGACCTCAAGTGATCCCCCTGTCTCGGCCTCCCAAAGTGCTGTGATTACAGGCGTGAGCCACCACCCTTGGCTCTGATTTTTTTTTTTTTTTTTTTTTTTTTTTGGTTGGGGGTTTTTTTATGTTGCCCAGGCTGGTCTCCAACTCCTGGCCTCAAGTGATCCTCCCACCTTGGCCTCCCAAAGTGCTGGGACTGCAGGCGTGAGCCACCGAGGTTGGCCCTCTTCCAGCTTCTAGAAGTTTCTTGCATTCCTTAGCTCATGGCCCCCTTCTGTCTTTGACACTCACAATGGCCCACGGAATCTTTCTCACACTGAATTGTTCTGACTCTGAAGTGCTGCCTTGACTTTCGGCTCCTTTTCCCATCTTCAAAGGGTTTTGCTTCCTTTGTTGTCATAGCCCCTCTGACTCACGCTTCCTGTGTCCTTCTTGATTATAAGGACCTGTGTGATTACACGAAGAGCCTGCCTGGGCAATCCAGGATAATCTCCCAAAAGCAGGATGCTGAACTTAATCACAGCTGCATTCTTTTGTCATATAACGTAACATTCATAGGGGTTAGGATGTAGACGTCACTGGGGGCCCGTTATTCAGCCTTTCATAGCACCATGCCTCCCAGAGCCACAGTCTCGGCAGTGCCTTACCTGGCCCTGCGCCACGTGCCCCTCTGTCCATCTCCTGACATCAACACCCACCCACCCTTTCCTGCTTCCCCACTCTCTCCACCACACTGGCCTCCTTGCTGCTCTTTTTTTTTCTTGAGGCGGAGTCTTGCTCTGTCACCCAGATTGGAGTATAATGGTGTGATCTTGGCCCACTGCAAACTCTGCCTTCCAGTTTAAGCAATTTTCCTGCCTCAGCCTCCCCAGTTGCTCCATTTCCCCAATACACTTATCCCCATCTGACAGACAGCGCATGTTCATTATTTTATTTCCTGAGTCTCTCTTTATTTACAGGCGCCCACCACCATGCCCGGCTAATTTTTGTATTTTTAATAGAGATGGGATTTCACCATGTTGGCCAGGCTGGTCTTGAACCCTTGACCTCAAGTGATCTGCCTGCCTTGGCTTCCCAAAGTGCTGGGATTACAGGCGTGAGCCACCATGCCCAGCCGCCTTGCTGCTCCTTGAATGTGCCAGGCATGCTCCTGCCCCAGGGCCTTTGCACTTGCTATTCTCTCTGCCTGGAATGCTCTTCCTCCAGAGTCCCACAAGGCTCCCTTCTTCCCCTCCTTCAAGTCTTTGCTCATTTGTCACCTTCTCAGCAAGGACCTCTCTGCCCTCTCTAATTAAAAATATCAGTCCCCCGATACTCTCGACTCCCCTCCATTTCCCCAATACACTTATCCCCATCTGACAGACGGTGCATGTTCATTATTTTATTTCCTGAGTCTCTCCCCTGCCAGAGCGACCCTCTGGGAAAGCAGGAGTTTTTGTTTTACTTTCTATCAAGGCTGCAAGAGTCTAGAACTGGGTCTGGCATACAGCAAAGGCTCATTTATTGCTGAATGAATGCGTAGATTGGGGGAGGGGCGGACAAGGTGAGGCCACATTTGGGACCGGGGCTGGGGTGGGGTGGAGAAGGGAGCTGCTGCCCAGAGGGACTCGGTGAGATTCAGGGTGGGGGCCAAGGCCAGCAGCTGGCAGCGGTTTCTGAGAGGGGCTGGGCCTGCCTGAACAGGGAAGGGGTCCGGCAACCATGGTCACCTTGCTGGGACTGGTGTGTGGGGCCACAGGCCTGTGAGGCTGGGCCTCTCTGCCACCTGAGGCCTGCATGGCGAGGTGTCTGCCTTGTCCCCAGGGGAAAAGACTCAGGGTCACTGGTGGAGACTGGTGTCTGCCTTGTCCCCAGGGGAAAAGACTCAGGTCACTGGTGGTCACTGGTGGACCCTGAAAAGACTCAGGGTCACTGGTGACTCAAGGGTCACTTGGGGTAGGGCATTGAGGACAGACAATTGGGAGCCCAGCCAACTGCCTGGGAGGCAGGCCTGAGGCCACCCCCTTGTCCCCAGATATCCAGATCTTGGGGGACTTTGGCAGGGAAAGGGGCCAGAGCCTGATTTTCACAGGCACATGGCCCAGGCCAGCTTGCTTGAAGGAACAGACCGAAGGTGGGCATGCATTCAGGGGCTGTACAGGGACCCAGGCCTGTTAGTCTCCTGTCCCCCTGCCAGGACACCTGCCCCATGTGCTGCTGAGTCCTTGGCCGAGTCCACCTCATCGGCCCCACAGCTCCCCATGGCCTTGTGCTGCTGGTCTCAGGTGTGAGGCTCCCAAGGGAGGGCTAGGGCCTTGTCTTCTCCCCAGCTGGCCTGGGCCAGGACTCATCAGGAGGTTGGCACCAGCTGGCAGTAGGGGGCAGGGTCGGGGTTTAGCAGGTCCTGCTTGGGGGGGAGAGAGAACAGAATTATGACTGGGTGGAGGGTGAGAGTCTTGGGGAGACAGAGAGGGACAGAGGATGAGAGAGAGTGAGATGGGGAGAAACCCACAGAAAGAATGGAAGAGAAAGGTGGAAAGAGAGTGAGACGCAGAGAAAAGAGGTCCTGGAAGAACCAGGAAATGAGGTGGACACAGTGACAGAGACGAAGAGGCAGGAGAGACAGAGAATGGAGAGAGAGACAGAGATGCAGAGAAACAAAGATGTGTAAAGAGATGCATCTTAGACAAGGCAGCATGAACAAACTGGAAACAGAGAAAGAGAGATTAAAAAGGACACAGCCAGAGAAATTGAGAGAGAGAGAGAGAGAGAGAGAGAGAGTCTAAGAAAGGGGAAGACAGACACACAGACATATGTAGGCCACTCAGAGAGAGACAGAGCCACAGGGACAGACAGCAGACAGGAGGGGATGGAGAGGGACTGAGCCCTGCGGTGGGGTTTCACTGGGGACCCGACTGGCTGTGTGACCCTGGGCAATCCCCTGTCCCTCTCTGGGCCTTGTTCCTCCTGTGCAAATTCAAGGTTTTGGATCCCTTTTGCAAAGAAGGAAATCGCAGCCTTGGGAGGAAAAGGGACTTGCCAGGGTCTCTCAGGGAGGCGGTTTGGGCTTCTCCGAGAGCTGAGACCATGAGGCTTGTGGGGATGAGGGGAGGAGAGCCCCCAGGTTCGGTTTTCTTGACCCCTCCCCACCCAGGCTTTGGGGCTCCTGGATCCATGGGATCCCCACCACCCCTCCCAGCTCCCAGCTCCATACCTGGTACTGGTGGTTCTCTGGCCCCGTCTGTAGGGGTGGGAGTGTGGGCAGAGGCTGCAAGGAAAGGCCACAGGTGAGCGGGCGCTCGGCACCCCCACCCTCTAATCTTTGACCTTTGGTTCTGGGACACTCTTAGATTCCAAGTCCCCATCATCCCTCCCAGACCGCGAGGCCCCTGGGCAGAGGGGATTAGCTTCCTTGCACCTCAGCGTTCTCCTCTGACAAATGGGCACTGGGCCCCAGCTTTGTGTGGTATCCCGTCAACCACTCCGTTAACTCTCAGTCTACCCCTGTCAACACCTCTGGTTCTAAGCTCTTAGCCTTAGTGTTTTAAGTTTCTCTTATTTTTCGCTTTTTTAGAAAAAGACAGGATCTTGCTCTGTCACCCAAGCCAGAGTGCAGTGGTGCAATCATGGCTCACTGCAGCCTCAAACTCCTGGGCTCAAGGGATCCTCCCTCCTCAGCCTCCCTGGTAGCTGGGACTATAGGTGCACACCACCATGCCTAGCTAATATTTGTAGAGATGGGGTCTTGCTATGTTCCCCAGGCTGGTCTCAAATTCCCGGCCTCAAGTGATTCTCCCACCTTGGTCTCCCAAAGTGTTGGGATTTACAGGCGTGAGTCGTCATGCCAAGTTTTTCTTTTTATTTAATCTAAATAACCTCTTTTTTTTTTGGGACGAAGTCTCGCTCCTGTCACGTAGGCTGGAGTGCAGTGGCATGACCTCGGCTCACTGCAACCTCCACCTCCTGGGTTCAAGCGATTCTCCTTCCTTAGCCTCTCAAGTAGCTGCGATTACAGGCATGCGCCATCACACCTGGCTAAGTTTTGCATTTTTAGTAGAGATGGGGTTTTGCCATGTTGGCCAGGCTGGTCTCAAACTCCTGACCTCAGACGATCCACCCACCTCAGCCTCCCAAAGTGCTAGAATTATAGGCGTGAGCCACCGCGCACAGCCTAAGTAACTCATTTTTATAAACTTTTCGTTATATATATATAAAACCTCCCCATTATAAAGGGAGTAGCTGCTCAGTGCAGAAAACACAGACAAGTATAAAAGAAAAGAAGATAAAACCCACCCACCAGCCTCCACACCCCAGAGACAAATGCTGCTTCTGTTGTGCTGTTTCCTTCCAGTCTCTTTTCCTTAGGATTTTTAAAAACAGGGAACAATATATAGAGAGTTGAGATTCCCAGACTTGGTGTCAAGGTGGCCCAGAGGACCATGGCCAGCTCAGAGGGAAGGCGCCTGTTAGCATTGGCTTCAGGGGAGAGGGTGGGGATAGGACTCACCTGGGCTGGGTTTATGGACCTCGTGTCACTGATGGGGGACACCAGGAGGACTGGAGAGGGCATCACTTCATAGATGTTGTCACCTGAAACAGGGCATAGGGGAGGTACCAGCTGACAGATAGGTCCCACAGGCCACTCTGGCTGCCTGTTGACATTCATTTATTTATTTATTCAACGAACATTTGTGAAAATTCTTCTTCTAGCCAAACCCAGTGCTGGGGACACAGTGGCGACCATGTCAATCCCGGGCCTGCCCTTCCGGGACTCACAGTCCAGTGGGAGACACAGACCAATCTCCAGAGTGACAACCTGGAGTGTTTAGGGCTGGAGTGGGGGGACTAGGGGTGGGTGGGAACCCAAGAGGGGGTGCCTAAGCAGCCTAGCACCCAGTGAGGGCTTCCTGGAGGGGGCATCTGAGAGAGTAGAGAGAAGTAAGAGTGAAGCTAAGGCAGGAGAAGGTGAATGCAGAGGTCTGGTGAGAGAGCCAGCTGTGTTTCAGAAACGATGTTTGATCTGTCTTATGAAGGGCCTTGAGAACCATGTTAAGGAGACTAAACTTTTTCCCAAGGGCACAGGGGAGCCATGGAGGGCCTTTGAGCAGAGGAGTAACAGGATCAGAATTTTAGAAAGATCTTGTCTCGGGATGGGTTGGAGGTGTCTGGAGGCTGGGAGACCAGTGAGGAGCTGGGTGTGGGGGGGTCTAGGAGGCTGGTAGTGGCCTGTGGGGGTGGATAGGATCCACTCACATGATGGGATGGGGGTGCCAGCCACTGAGAAGAAGAGAGAAAGCAGGTTTGGGGTGGTGCCAATGTGCTCAGATTATATGGGTGGAGTTCAGGGGGTCCCAGGGAGGTCTCGGGCAGGTGCATTGGGAGGCCCCTGAGTGAGGGAGAATAAGGGGGCTTGTGGCTATGGGGGAGAAGGGAGGAGCTGAGAGGAGGGCTAGGTAGTGAGATCTGGGGCTCTTGCCTTACCAGTATCATGAGCAGGGCCCAATTCTGGCTTCTCTGTGGTCGCCATCCTGGGGACACATGGAGGGAACTGATATTAGGATAGAGAGACACTTGGGTGGGTGGAGAGAGACTTAGAGAGGCTGGAAATCCCACTAGGCCCCTGAAAGCCACATGGTCTCTCCTTCAGAGTGAGCTAGGATGAGGCCTGAACTATCCCAGACTCTTATTCCATAATCCCCATCCGCAGTCCCTCAGTTTCCCTAGCCACCACCTCATGCCAATGAGCAACGTTCCCCAGACATCACAGACATCACCATTTACAGAGATCACCCACATGGTCCTGCTCCATCCATCTGTCTTAGATTTCCTTAATGTTTCTCTTTATATTGATTCATTTGAATATCCTTATTTATTTTTTATTTTTATTTATTTATTTTTTTTGAGACAGAGTCTCGCTCTGTTACCCAGGCTGGAGTGCAATGGCGTGATGTCAGCTCACTGCAACCTCCACCTCCTAGGTTCAAGGGATTCTCTTGCCTCTGCCTTCCAAGTAGCTGGGATTACAGGTGTGTGCCACCATGCTCGGCTAATTTTTTTTTTTTTTTTTTTGAGATGGAGTCTCGCTCTGTTGCCCAGGCTGGAGTGTAGTGGTGCAATCTCAGCTCACTGCAAGCTCTGCCTCCCAGGTTCACGACATTCTCCTGCCTCAGCCTCCCTAGTAGCTGGGACTACAGGCACCCGCCACCACGCCCAGCTAATTTTTTGTATTTTTAGTAGAGATGGGGTTTCACCGTGTTAGCCAGGATGGTCTCGATCTCCTGACCTCGTGATCAGCTCGCCTTGGCCTCCCAAAGTGCTGGGATTACAGGCGTGAGGCACCACACCCGGCCCATGCTTGGATAATTTTGTATTGTTAGTAGAGACAGGTTTTCACCATGTTCGTCAGGTTGGTCTCGAACTCCTGACCTCAAGTGATCCACCCGCCTTGGCCTCCCAAAATACTGGGATTACAGGTGTGAGTCACTCACCCGTCCTGAATACCCTTAATTTAAAAAGTACACTGGAACCAAGTGAAGTGGCTCATGACTATACTCCCAGCACACTGGGAGACCAAGGCAGGAGAATTTTTTGAGGCCAGGAGTTTGAGACCTGCCTGACCCACAAAGTGAGATTCCGTCTCTACAAAAATTAACCAGGCGTGGTGGTGCACACCTGGGGTCCCAGCTACTTGGGAGACTCGGGGTGGGAGGATAGTTTGAACCAGGGAGGTCGAGGCTACAGTGAGCTATGATTGCACCACTGCACCCCAACCTGGGCAATAGAGTGAGACTTTGAGTCTGAAACAAAAGTACTCTTGACACCACTATAGCGAGTTTGTTAATTCACCAAATAAGTATTTACAAGCACCAACCATGTGCTGGGCATCACTGAAGGCACTGGGGACACAGCAGAGCACAAGATGGACAGAGATCCCTGGCTCCTTGGAGCAGGCAGTCTAGGGGGGAAAGAGAGGGGAAGAAAATTGGAGTAAAGCATTGACAGTAGACTATCAGAGAGCAACATTCCTTCCCTATGAAGGAAAATGGAGAGGGGGGAGGGGGTGGAAGGTGTGCGTGCGGTTTTGAGTACAAAAAATAATAAATGACTGGGCGCAGGGGCTCACACCTGTAATCCCAGCACTTCGGGAGGCCAAGGTGGGCAGATCACCTGAGGTCAGGATTTGAGACCATCCTGGCCAACATAGTGAAACCCTGTCCCTACTAAAAATACAAAAATCAGCCAGGCGATGTGGTGGGTGCCTGTAATTCCAGCTACTCAGGAAGCTGAGGCAGCATAATCGCTTGAACCCATGAACGGGAGGTTGCAGTGAGTTGAGATCGCACCACTGGATTCCAGCCTGGGCTACAAGAGCAAAACAAGAAGCAAGCAAGCTTGGAAATGGTGCATTCCTGTAGTCCCAGCTACTTCGGGGGCTAAGATGGGAGGATGGCTTGAGCCCAGCAATTCAAGACCAGCCAGGGCAACACAGGAAGACCTTATTTTTACAAAAAGTAAAAAATAAGCTAGGCATGGTGGTGCATGCCTGTAATTCGAGCATTTTGGGAGGCTGAGGTGGAAGGATCGCTTAAGGCCAGGAGTTTGAGGTCAGCTTGGGCAACATAGCAAGACTCTATCTCTACAAAAAATAATAATACAGATAATTAGCCAGGTGTGGTAGCACAGGCCTGTGGTCCCAGTTACCCAGGAGGCTGAGGTGGGAGAATCACTTGAGCCCAGGTGTCTGAGGCTGTAGTAAACTATGATCACGCCACTGCACTCCAGCCTGGGTGATAGAGCAAGACCCTGTCTCTCTAAAAAAGAAAAAAGAAATAGACCAGGCACAGTGGCTCACGCCTGTAATTCCAGTACTTTGGGAGGCCGAGGCCGGCAGATTGCCTGAGATTAGGAGTTTGAGACCACTCAGGGCAACATGGTGAAACCCCATCTCTACTAAAATACAAAAAAATTAGCCGGGTGTTGTGGTGCATGCCTGTAGTCCCAGCTACTTGGGAGGCTGAGGCACGAAATTGCTTGAGCCCCGGAGGCAGAGATTGCAGTGAGCCAAGATTGCTCCACTGCACTGCGGCAAGACTCTCTCAAAAAAAAAAAAAAAAAAAGAAGAAGAAGAAGAAGAAGAAAGAATCCATGGCACATAAGGAAGAGTTAAGAAAGGAGACAAAATTGCTGCTTTCAAATTCTGGGAACTGGTGAGTGGCAGAAAAATTAGACATCTTATCTACAATCAGTTCAGAATCAATTTCAAGAGACAAAGTTCTGAAGACGCTGATGTCATAAGAAAGGAATTTTTCACGAATAGACTCTCCCCGGGGGAAACAGGACCCCAACTCTCTCTCTCTCCCCACAAAGAGGTAGGTGGCATCTGATAGCTTTGCCTGCCGCTGGCCACTCCCCTTCTTTGACAATAGCATCCAGTTTTCCTTTGGAGGGCTGGTCTACACTCTCAATTCATTTGATTAAACGGAGTTGGATCTATCCCAGGCTCTGGGGCTGCACAAATAGCCCAAGTTTGGCCAATCAGGGCTTTCCCTGGCCACCAACCCCTGGCCACAGTGATTGGGTCATGAAAAGTCATGTGATCTGAGTTAAGCCAATGAGAGGTAGACTTGGGGCTTTTGCTGGAACTACCAGGAACATCTCCTTGCTAGGAATGACTGAACCGGTGGAGTATGAGCCTGCCCCTTGGGAGTGATCTTGTCGCAACAGGGGAGAGCCTGCCTAAGAATGAAGCCACCGAAGAAAAATACAGAGTTGAGGAGTATATAAAGGAGTCACTTGAGAACACTGAGCCCCTGGATGCAGCCCTACCTGAAGTTAATAAGTTATGTAGTATTAAATAATTCCTTGTTTTTGGGCAGGGAACAGTGGCACATGCCTGTATTCTCAGCACTTTGGGAGGCCAAGGCTGGAAGATCACTTGAGCCCAGGAGTTCAAGACCTGCCTGGGCAAAACCTCATCTCTACAAAAAAAAAAAAAAAAAAAATTAGCCAGGCCTGGTGATGCACACCTGTAGTCTCAGCTACCTGGGAGGCTGAGGTGAAAGAATCACCTGAGCCCAGGGAGGTCGAGGCTGCAGTGAGTCGTGATTGCACCACTGCACTCCAGCCTGGGTGACAGAGCGAGACCCTGTCTAAAATTCCTTGTTTTTGGTAAGTCAGTTTAAGAATAGGTTTCCTGTCCCTTGCAATGCAGAATTCTGTTTTACACAGGATAGAAAGATCCTTTTCACCCCAGGAGTTCCAAGATTTGATGAGATTGTGTATGAGCCGGATGATGTGACTTGTGGAAGAATCCACGGGGCTTGAGAAGACCGTGGGAGGAGACAGGAGAGGGATGCCTGGGGACCCTGTACCTGTGGCTCTGGCCCTTCCAGTTCCTTGTCACCAGGAGATAGGCAATGCAGCTGATGAGAAGGGCCCCAGCAGCAAGAGATCCAATGATGGTGGCTGCCAGGATCCCAGCGTTGGTGGGCAGGTGTGTACTGGGCAGTTCCTTATTCTTTTCTGAGGGATGAGAGAAAGAAAGAGAGGGGGGACTGTGCGATGTCTCCTGAGGGCTCCCCCAATCCCCCACCGACTGTATCAGTGACTGCCTGGAGAACTGAGGTGCAGTTTCCTATTTCTAGCCCAGAGCTTTCTCCTGCTTTTCAGATTTGAGTATCCAACCATCTGGGTGGCACATAAAATCCAACATGTCCCAGTGGGCCGGGCGCGTTGCTCACACTTGTAATCTCAGCAATTTGGGAGGCTGAGGTGGGAGGATCACTTGAGCCCAGGAGTTCGAGACCAGCCTGGGCAACATAGTGAGACCCTATCTCTATTTAAAAATTTTTCAACATGTCCCAGATGGAACTCCTCAGCTCTCCCCTATCTCAATGTCACCAGTTCCCTAGGGTTTCATATGATCCTCAGCACATCCAAAATCTGTTTGCTGACAAGCTCCCCAACTCTACCCCATCAAACTGATTTTTTTTTTCTTTTTTGAAACAGCATCTCACTCTGTTGCCCAGACTGGAGTGCAATGTCATGATCGTGGTTCACTGCAGCCTCGAATTCCTGGGCTTTAAGCCATCCTCCCACCTCAGTCTCCCAAGTAGCTGGGACTACAGGCACACACCACCACTCCTGGCTAATTTTAAAATTTTTTGTAAAGAAGAGGTGTCACTAAATTACTCAGGCTGGTCTCAAATTCCTGGACTCAAGCAGTTCTCCTGCCTTGGCCTCCCAAAGTGTTGGAATTACAGACGTGAGTCATCGAGCCCAGAGCCAATCTGCTTTGCTTTTTCTCACCTCAGTTGATGATACCTGAATCCTTTTAGCAGAAGGATGAGGTTCTGGGCTGTGTTTTGCAGGAGATGTAGGGGACTCGGAGGATTCTTAAATTGGACTTGCCAGAATTAAGACCACGCCTAACTGGCTCTTACCCTCTGACCTCCCCGCTTTACTCTCAAACTGGACATCTGTTCTATCCCAACCCTTCTTGGCAGCTAAGCTCATAGACTACGAGATCCTAATGCTGCCTACTGGCTGTGTGACCTTGGGCAAATTACTCCATTTCTCTGTGACTTGGTTCGTCTGTGAAATGAGAATAATACGAATACCTAGCTCTTAGGGTTGTTATGAAGCTTGAAATACACACACACACACACACACACACACTGTTCTCTCAATGATCCAACAAAGAAACTCTATGCCATTTTACAGATAAGGAAACTGAGGCATGGAACAGTAAATTGCCTTGCCTGATGGCTCACGATAAGTGCAGTGCTGGGATCATACCCAGGCCACCTGAACTCCCTAATGACCATGCTGTGCAGCTTCCAAAAGGGGCACCTGTGATCAGGGAGCCCCGGAAACGTGAGGAGAAGCCACCTCAGGCTCCATGAGTTAAGTAAGGACTGTTGTCTCCAACCGGACTAGAGGGTCATTTTATGCAGATTTGTGTAATCAAATGAATGCATGTGTTGAATTAACTTTTGCCTATTTCATCCGTTTCTCTAAAATTTTTTCTATCCACTGTCCAAAATCCATTTTAAAATTTAACTAGGGACCAGGAGTGGTGGCTCATGCCTGTAATCCCAGCACTTTGGGAGGCTGAGGTGGGTGGATCACCTGAGCTCAGGAGTTGGAGACCAGCCTGGGCAACATGGCAAAACCCAGTCTCTACCAATAAATAAAAAAAAATTAGCCATGTGTGATGGCACGCGCCTATAGTCCCAGAAACATGGGAAGCTGAGGTGGGAGGATTGCCTGAGCCCGGGAGGTGGAGGTCACAGTGAGCAGAGACTGGGCATGATGGCTTACTCTTGTAATCCCAGGACTGGGAGGCCAAGGTGGAAGGATTGCTTGAGGCCAGGAGTTTGAGACCAGCCTGAGCAATACCAGTAAGACCCTGTCTCCACAATCTTATTTATTTATTTATTTTTTTAAAAGAAGCACACAATCTGTTTACAAGTGCTCTACCCTCATGATCTAATCACCTCCCACAAGCCCCACTTTTTTTTTTTTTTTTTTGAGATGGAGTCTTGCTCTGTTGCCTAGGCTGGAGTGCAGTGGCATGATCTTGGTTCACTGCAACCTCTGCCTCCCGGGTTCAAGTGATTCTCCTGCCTCAGCCTCCCATGTGGCTGGCATTAGAGGCACTTGCCACCATGCCCAGCTAATCTTTGTATTTTTTAGTAGAGCCAGGGTTTCACCATGTTGGCCAGGCTGATCTCGAACTCCTGACCTCAGGTGATCCACCCACTTCAGCCTTTCAAAATGCTGGGATTGCAGGTATGAGCCACTGTGCTGGACCCAAGTCCCACCTTTTAATACCATCATCTTGGAGGTTAGGATTTCAACATACAAATTCTGGGGTGATCTGCGTCCTGTGGAAATGAGAAGGGGCCACAGCACCTCCATCCCTCAATCACCTTCTCTTGTCTCTCCTCTAAGGTCACTTCTTGAGTGAGGTCTTCCTGATGACCCCCCTTCCCATGTCACATCATTCTGGTTCATGTTCTTTACTCAGCAAGTCATAACCACTGTGTGCCTCTATTTTTCAATCTGTAAAATGGAGACAATAATGGCACCCACCTCATGGAGTTGTTTTAAGGTAAAAATGAGTAAATATAGGGTAGTGGTTCTCAACCAGGGGTGATTCTTATCCCAGGCTGGAGACATTTGGTAATATCTGAAGACATTTTTGGTTGTCATGACTAGGAAGGTGCTACTGGTACCCAGTGAGTAGAGGCCAGGGGTGCTGCTGAAATCTCTGCAACGCACAAACCCTCTAGTGGGAAGAACTGGCCAATACAAAACATCAGTAGTGCTGAAGCTGAGAAACTATGCTTTAGAGAAAAGGTTTAAGATGGTGCCTGACTCTTCACAAGCACCCAAGAACTGCCAGCTGTCATTATTGTCCACCACCCTGTCCCTCACACTTTGCCCCGAGTGGATTCATCAGTAAATACTCGCCTTATGAACATAAAGATTGAGGGATGCATTCCTCACAACCAGGCATACAGTAAGTGCTCAATTAAAATGTGGTTAATGTCCGTGCATGTGAAAGGTAAACGAGATGGTACATTCTCCAGTGTCAGGCACAAGGCAGGCATTTCATAGATATTTTATTAGTTAATGCATGTGAGGGTTAAAGACTATCTCTGGGGACTGGTACACAGTAGACGCTCAATATGTGTCCAGTGAATGAATGAGAGGACCAAATGAAATGGTGTTTGCACAGCACCTGGTGCATGGTAGCTGCTCAGGGCTCATTAGCTTCCTCACCTCATCCCCAGACCCTAACACTTACCAGCTACCTGGACCTCAGTCTTGGCCTTCATAGTCCATTCAGAGTTGATCGTAACGGCTACTTGGTAGGTGCCACTGTCTGTAGGCTGGGCGCGGCGCAGCAGCATAGAACCATTGGGGAAGCCCACGATGTCTCGCTGTCCCATGGCACTGCCATCCCTCTGGGGCCGTTGTATCCCAGGGATGTAGGTAAATAGCCTGGTGCCTCCATACATCTCCTCACCCAGGTACCAGTTGAAGTCCTGGAAGGTGTCTGGGACACCCTGGACTGACAGGAGAAGGTCCTGATTCTTTTGAGGCTGTTCTGGAATCTTCTGGATGTGGAGGGCTGCCTGGGAGCCTTGGAGCATCCAGAGGACCAGGATTGAGGCTGTGGGAAGTTATAGGAAAGGGCTGAGATCAGGGGTGTTGCCAGGGACCATGGCATGCTCCTCTCTAGATAGAGATCTTCAGCGGGGAGCAAGGACTTTGAGTGCTGCTCATTGGAAACAATGCTGGGATTGATTAGTGACGTCTGCCCTGGGTGCAGGCGTGGGATCATAGGCATAGAAACCACAGATTTGCCATCCTATTGATCCAGAGGTTTTTCTACCTTGAGATGCTGTGTGGCCTGCTTCTAAACACATGGACTCTCTGAATTCATTCATTCATTTATTCAACCAATACTTATAGGCATATGTAATATATAAACCATAATACCAACTATATGTAATACATCTAAACTTCCTTCAATTTCTAGACACTGGAGATATAGCAGGGAACCAAACATAAATAACTTCCTGACTTCATGGTCCTAACATTATAGAAAATTCCATAGATAAAATGGCAATGAGGCTGTGATTCTTTTGCCCCTCCCCCATCGTACTCTCAGTTCATCCTCTCAGGTAATCTTTCCCTACTTCTAAGAGGAAACTTCAGTCTCTGGGCTGAGTCCCCATTTCTCCCCTCGGCCTTTAGGGTCTATTTCCTCCTTACCTGAGAGCAGGAGGCTCTTTGAGAAGCAGCCCTGGGTCCCCATGGGAATCTCCATCTTGGCGTCTTGTGGAAATGCCAAGGGGCCACGAGCTGGACACTAAGGGGGCCAGAGTGGTGGGCCCTGGCTGTCTGAAGTAGGCCAGCTCAGTGGGGATCCCAGGGGTGCCTTAGAGACACCGCTGAGGCTGGCCCAGCCCCAGCATGCCCTGTCCATGGGCTCTGGAGGCTCCACCTATACTCCCTGGGATGGGAGCACAGACAGAGGTTGAACCAGTTTTTCAGGGTGACTGGGGAACTTCCCAGGACTCCTCCCCTGACCCTCTTCAACCTCTTTTTCTCACTCAGCATGACTACAACAGCAGTCACTATAGCAATAGTCATAGCAGCTGCTGTTTGAACAATTCCCCTGAGTTTGTTCAAACACACACTACCTCATTCAGCAGCCACCATAAATAACTGTTCCCACTGCATAGATGTGGAAACAGAGGCCCAGGAAAAGAAGCAAGTCTGCCAATAGACAGAGGTGGGATTTCAACTGTGACTGACTCACTTGAAGGCTCTGAGACAGGCCGGGTATGGTGGCTCACGTCTGTAATCCCAGCACTTTGGGAGGCCAAGGTGGGTAGATCATGAAGTGAGGAGTTTGAGACCAGCCTGGCCAACATGGTGAAACCCTGTCTCTACTAAAAATACAAAAATTAGTCAGGCTTGGTGGTGGGCGCTTGTAATCCCAGCAACTGTGTAGGCTGAGGCAGGAGAATCACTTGAATCTGGGAGGCAAGGGGTTGCAGGGAGCCGAGATCGCGCCACTGCACACCAGCCTGGGTGACAGAGCGAGACATTGTCTCAAAAAAAAAAAAAAAAAGAAAAGAAAAAAAAAAGCTGTTAGCCTAGTGGTTTTTAAATTTAATTTAATTTTTTTTTGAGATGGAGTTTCATCTTGTTGCCCAGACTGGAGTGCAATGGCGTAATCTCGGTTCACCGCAACCTCTGCCATCAGGGTTCAAGTGATCCTCCCACTCAGCCTCCCGAGTACCTGGGATTACAGGCATGCGCCACCACGCCCAGCTAATTTTGTATTTTTAGTAGAGATGGGGTTTCTCCATGTTGGTCAGGCTGGTCTTGAACTCCTGACCTCAGGTGATCTGCCCACCTCGGCCTTCCAAAGTGCTGGGATTACAGGCATGAGCCACCGTGCTCGGTCTGTTTTTTTTTTTCTTGAGTCAGGGTCTTGCTCTGTCTTTCCATTCATGAACATTATTTTGTAGTTTTTAAGAGTGTGTGTTTTTTTATTTGAGACGCTCTGTCGCCCAGCCTGGAGTACAGTGGCACAGTCTCAGTTTACTGCAACCTTCCCAGGTTCAAGTGATTCTTCTGCCTCAGCCTTCTGAGTAGCTGGGATTACAGGCATGTGTTACTATGCCCGGCTAATTTTTGTATTTTTAATAGAGATAGGGTTTTGCCATGTTGGCCAGGCTGGTCTCAAACTCCTGATCTCAGATGATCCTCCTGCCTCAGCCTCCCAAAGTGCTAGGAGTATAGGCATGAGCCACCTCACCCAGCCCCAGAGTGTATGTTTTGTACTTTTCTGGATCATGTTTATTCCAAGTGTGTTACTCTTGTTTTTTTTGTTTTTTTGTTTTTTTAAGACAGGGTCTCACTCTGTTGCCCAGGCTGGAGTATAGTGGCATGATCATTGCTCACTGCAGCCTCCAACTCCTGGGCTCAAGCAATCCTTCTATCTCAGCCTCCTGAGTAGCTGGGACCACAGTTGTACACTAACATCCCTGGCTAATTTTTTTATGTTTTGTAGAGATGGGATCTCACTATGTTGCCCCAGGCTGGTGTTGAACTCCTGGGCTCAAGTGAACCTCCTACCTTGGCTTCCCAAAGTACTGGGATTACAGATGTGACCCACCACACCTGGCTTAGCCTAGTTTATAAAAAGCATTCTCCGTTCATTCCAGCATACACTCCCAGTGCCCAGTCGTGGGTGCTGGGTGATGTTGGTGACACAGTGATGATTGAGACCATCTCTGCTCTGCCCTCCGTCCACAGTAGGGCACACAGTCCTGTAGGGTGTGGTGGGCAGACCCCTCTCACACAATTATGATCCAGGGTGATCAGGGCTAAGATGGAGGAGCCCAGAAGTCTGGGAGAACCCAAGGAGACACACCTCATTCAACCTGAGGGCTAGGGAGGGCTTCCTGCGGGAGGGGGCATCTGAGCTGAGACCTGGAGTGAGAGTAGAAATGAGGCAGATGATGGGGTGAGGCAGCGTGAGGTGCACCAGGCAGCATAAACAGCAATGCAAAGATGTGGAGGCTGAGATAGTCATCAAGGCATATTGAGGAGGTTGCAATATCTTGGGTGAGTGGAGGCAGGAAGGAGAGCGTGGGGCATGTGTGTGTAAGGCTGGGAGGTGGGAGAGATCAACTATGTTCTGTTGGTTGGATCAACAGAGCTTGGGTGATGGAGGGTCTAGTGTTATGCTGTTTAATATCATAGCTATTAGTCATATTTAAATATAAATTTAGGCCAGGCACAGGTGACTCACACTTGTAATCCTACCCCTCTGAGAGGCTGAGGTGGGAAGATTGCTTGAGCCCAGGAATTTGAGACCAGGCTGGGCAACATAGTAGGACCCCATCTTTACAGACAAAATAATTTAAAAAATTAGGTAGGCTTGGTGGCTTTCAACTGAGTTCCAGTTACTCAGAAGGCTGAGGCAGGAGGATTGCTGAGCCTGGGAGGTCGAGGCTGCAGTGAACTTTGATCATGACACTGCACTTCAGCCTGGGTGACAGAGTGAGACCCTGTCTCAAAAAAAAATTACTGAATAGGCCAGGTGTGGTGGCTCATGCCTGTAATCCTAGCACTTTGGGAGGCAGAGGCAGGCAGATCACTTGAGGTCAGGAGTTCGAGACCAGTCTGGGCAACAGGATGAAACGCTGTCTCCACTAAAAATACCAACATTAGCTGGCCGTGGTGGCGCACACCTGTAATCCCAGCTACTTGGGAGGCTGAGGCAAGAGAATCGCTTGAACCTGACAGGTGGAGGTTATAGTGAGCTGAGATTGTGCCACTGCACTCCAGCCTGGGCAACAGAGCAAGAATCCATCTCCAAAAAAAAAAAAAAATTGAAAAAAAATATACATGTAAAAGTGTATATATGTGTATAAATATGTATATATAAATGTATATACATGTGTCTATATATTCAAAGTAATTAAAATTAACTGCATTAAAAAATGCAGTTCCTAAAACTAGCCACTTTCAAGTGCTCACTAGCCTCATGTGATCAGTGGCTACTCCATTGAACTGCACAGATGGAGAACGTTTTCATCATCATCTCAGAAAGTTCTGTTCGGGAGCGACAGCTGACCTTGGGAGCCGAGGCAGGCGGTGCCAGGCATTTCTACCCGGTGAGGCCCATCAGGAAGAGACAGCTAGGTCGGGGTGTGGCGTACCCATAGCACTTTGTGTGTGTCTGAGTGTTCCGGACACACGTCTTCAGCTTGTCAGGGGTGATGGTATCTTCTAGAGGCCTCAGGTAGAGGCAGATCAGGAATCTTGATGTTGAACTGCCTTGAAGGATGGAGCGGCCCGGCTATAGACTGAATGGCTGCAGACTCCAGGGCAGCTCTGCCATGAGCTGGTGAGTCTGGCTGAAAACCTGGTTCTACCCGCATTTGGCTGGGGGATTTTGTGGCAAATGACTTCACCTCTCTGGGCCTCAGCTTCCTCCGCTGGAGAATGGGGATAAGCATCACCACCTCACAGGGATGTTGGGAGAAGTGGATGCAAGAGGCCCGGCAAACAAGCAACAGATGCCTGTCATTGTTATTATTATTATTGCTGTTGACCTTGTCTTTGGACTTGCCCCATCTCCCACATTGCCCCCACCCCCTTGTGACCCTGCTCAAGAGAAGTGTGTTTTCCCTGGAGGGATTTCCAATCCTCCACAGCCTCAATGTTCCTTAATGCCAGGAAGATTTCATGCTGGGTTCATGGGGTCAGAGTACCCTCAGAATCCACCTTCAATCCTTTTTTTTTTTTTTGAGACAAATTCTCACTCTCTCCCCCAGGCTGTAGTGCAGTGGCACGATCTCAGCTCACTGCAACCTCCGCCTCCCGGGTTCAAGCAATTCTCCTGCCTCAGCCTCCCTAATAGCTGGGACTATAGGCGCGCACCACCACGACCGGCTTATTTTTGTATTTCTAGTAGAGACGAGGTTTCACCATGCTGGCCAGGCTGGTCTGGAACTCCTGACCTCAGGTGATCCACCCACCTTACCCTCCCAAAGTGTTGCGGTAACAGGCGTGAGCCACCGTGCCCGGCCATTCAATCCTTCCTGCAGTTTTGTAGTTTCCTTGGTCTGTCTCCTGGAGAGAGGTTGTTGCAAACCCAGCAGTTATTTCCAGGCATGGATTAAGCAAAGCCAGCTATTCTGGATTTTCCGGTGGCTGGATTCTACTCCCCCTCTGTCTACTTCCCTGCCTCCCTCCCTCCCTCCCTCCCTCTCTCTTTCTTTCTTCACCCTTTCAAACAAGGACTTCGATTCCTTTTGTATTATTAAAAGAAGAGTCAAGGTTTGATGCAGAACTTTTAGGCAGTACTTAAAAGAGAATACAATTCAAACATGTTACAACAACCCAGACAGAAGTAGTCACTGCTGGTAACAGAGGTCTAGACTTCCATCCTGTCCTGAGCCTTCATCCGGGCCTCTCCCCAGGCCCAGAGGGCAGGTCGCGATTGGTCCAGCCATCCAGGCGGGCCTATTCTTTTGGCCAGGGATTGGTTAAGCGGTGGGCAGCGCTGGTGAATGAGACCAGAAGAGACGCTGCTGGGTGAGGTTTCTGCTGCTGGGTGAGGTTTCTCGTTCCTACAAAGGCTCACCCAGGTAGGGATGCGCAGTTTCTCTGGGTCTGAGTCTGGATGTGATGCCTGGAATGCGGCAGCCATCTTGGCACCAGAGGTGATGCCAATATGTGGAGGAAAGCAGAACAAACAGCAGAACAGCAGAACTGAGCCCTGCATGCCGTGCCCGGAGTTGAGCCAGACAATCCAGTTCTTTTTTTTTTTTTTTTTTTGAAGACGGAGTCTCACTCTTGTCACCCAGGTTGGAGTGCAGTGACTCGATCATGGCTTACTGCACCCTCCACCTCCCGGGTTCAAGGGATTCTCCCACCTCAGCCTCTTGAGTAGCTGAGATTACAAGCATGCATGACCACGTCTGGCTAATTTTTTTTGGAGAGACAGGGTTTCACTATGGGCTAGTCTTGAACTCCTTACCTCAAGTGATCCACCCGCTGCAGCCTCCCAGTACAGGCGTGAGACACTGCGCCCAGCCCATAATTTTTTTAAAAAAGTTAGATTTCAGTAGCATAGGCATTTTCACCACAAGCAATCAGTAACCCAGAGGCTTCTGGGACCTCACAGCTCCTCAAGATGAGATCATATCGACCTGAAAAGATTCCCGACTCCCATGCAGGAGCAATGCGGAGGGAGGATGTCCAGTGTTTTAGCCCCTTTATGATCTCCGTTATACCCCGCCCCCCACCAAGACTCTGATACGGATAGTTGCGGTTTTCTTAACCTTACTATAAGTTTATAGAATATCTATACCAAAATTCTGGGCCCACTCTCCATTCCTGGCTCTGTGGACCCCAAGGATGCCCCCTTCCTCCAGAAAGAGGTCATCATCTACGTCGCTGGTGGGAACAGAACTCAGCACAACTTCTGGGAGGGTTCATTTGTCAATATCTATCACAATGACAAGAAACAAACTCTTTGGCCCAGCAATTCCACCTCCAGGAGTGTGTCCTACACTCAGGTGTCGACATGAGCTAAATGACAGCGTGCATTGGCCAGGCATGGGGGCTTATGCCTATAAATCCCAGTATTTTAGGAGGCCGAGGCGGGAGGACTGTTTGAGCCCAGGAGTTTGAGACCAGCCTGGGCAAGATGGCAAGATTCCTGTCTCTAAAATAAATAAATAAATAAATAAATAAATAAAATAAATGACAGTGTCTAAAGTTATTTACTACAACATCGTAACAGTAAAAGGCTGGAAATGATACAAACGCCTGTCCTTAGGGGCCTCGTTAAAAAAGCCCTGTAAATCCCTCCCATGGAATATGAAGTGGCTATAGAACAACTAAGGTTGTAAGAACAACAACTCTGAATTACCAGAAACTGAGCAACAAAAGTAAGGTCCAGGGCGGGCACGGTGGCTCACATCTGTAATCCCCGCAATTTGGGAGGCCGAGGCAGGAGACGCACTTGAGCCCGGGAGTTCCAGACCAGCCTAGGCAACATAGTAAGATGCCCATCTCTACAAAAATTTTTTAAAAATTTAGCCAGGTGGGGTGGCGCCCACCTATAGTCCCAGCTATTCTGGAGGCTGAGACGGAAGGATCGTGTGAGCCCAGCAGGTCTAGGCTGAAATGAGCCATGATCACGCCACTGCACTCCAGTCTGGGCAACAAAGTGAGACTCTGTTTCTAAAATAAACAAATAATAAATAAATAAAATGTACTATTCAATGGTTTTGCAATTAATTTTCTAAACTTGTGGTTAAAAAGAGATAACAGAAAATTTGCCATTTTAGCTATTTTTGAGTGTATGACTCAGTGGCATTCATTACATTCATAGTGTTGTGTAAAACTGGATATCCACGTGTAAAAGAATGGAGCTGGACCATTACACTCTAAACACAAATTAGAATGGATCCCTCATGTCTTTTTATAACTTCCAGTTTTGGGAAGTTTCTGTACTATCTAATTTTTAAAAATTAGCTTCGCATGGTGAGGGGCACCTGTGGTCCCAGCTACTTGGGAGGCTGAGGTGGGAGGATTGCTTGATCCCCGGAGTTAGAGGCTACAATGAGCTATGATCATGCCACTGCACTCCAGCCTGGGTGACAGTAGACACTGTCTCTTAAAAAATTTTTTTGGAGAGGAAAAAAAAAAGCAAAAAAAGACAAGCTGTTCCTAAGGTGCCTGGGAACCCCAGCCCTCACAGCCTTCTTCAGAAAAAAAGCAAAAAAGACAAGCTGTCTTAAGGTGCCTGGGAACTGGCCTCACAGCCTTCTTCATTTAGCTAGCCTGCTTCCATGTCTGGTTCCATCCTATGTGTGATGCTGCATACACGAAACCTGCCTCTCCTTCTGGTCATAAGAGACCCCATTGCACACAGCTACTGGAGGTACAATAAATAAGCTTTAATGATATTTTGGCGCTGGAGAAAGACAAGGAGTTTATGTGCCACCACAAAGCAACCAATGCCCTTGTCTCCTCAACTCTGTGGGGTCCCACTGGCCTCATTACTCTCCTGAACCTTGCCACTGCCATCCTGCTACTCGTGAGTCTCTTCCTGCCACTTCTCTGTTCCCACTTTCCATCTTCTGTCCACAGCAGATCCTCCGTCCTGCTTATTTTCTGCAGAGCAGCCCAGGCTTTGTATTCCTCACGAGCATCTTGGCCCAAGATCTTTTCTCCCCAAGGTATTTTCCCAAACAGTTTTCTTGGTAAGAGAATTTCAGTGTCTGGCTCAAGATCACAGACCTTTTTAAAGCAACTTGTCAGCCGTGCATCTGAGCAGTCAGTCTCCTGGGTCTTGGGTCGATCCATCTTGGTCCTACAGGAGCGTGGTCCTGAGCAACTGCAGTGTCGCCCCCCTGCATCCCTCTCTCCTGGAGCTGGAAAAGAAGGCTTGCTTTTGTAGGGTGAGTTTCACAGTCCCAGCTGGTTGGGTGGCTGCAGCAGATGCTATTGAAAGTGGCTGCAGATGCTGAAGGAAAGGTTGCAGCTGACTACCTTCTTTCAAGTCTACGTCCAGTAGTTGTCTCTTGCTCCTTTTGACACACCCAGGCAGCTGCTTGCGGCCCACAGAGCTCTGGCAGACCAGGGCCAGCGGCTATTTCTATAACCACAGAAGTCTGACGGATACAGAGAATTGCTTCAAGGCCAGAGGCTGGCCTTATATCAGAATTCTCGCAGGTCTACACTCCTTCTGTGTGTGGTCTGCTATGCAGTAGAGGCTTAACTCTTGCTCAAACAAAGATGAGGCCCCTTTATCCCCAGCCAAGACATCTACTCCCAAGCCCTTGGAATATCCCTGCCGGTGGGAAGATCCGAGAGTCTTGGGCTTACTTCTGGGCCATACACTCAAATGATGGATTTAGCAGGGTCTAAGCACACGGTACTGGCTTGATGTATGAGGTCAGTCATGGGTGGTGAGCTGCTTAATTCAGCACTTGGGAGAGGCCAAGGCAGAAGTATCACTAAAGCAGAGTTCAAGACACCAGCCTGGGCAACACAGGGAGACCTCATCTCTACAAATAATAAAAGATTGGCTAGACATGGTGGTACATACCAGGTCGTAGCTACCAGGAGGCTGAGGTGGGAGGATGACTGGAGTGAGAAGTCAAGGCCGCAACGAGCTGATCTCAATCACGCACCCAGCAAAATGATTTCAAGACCCGTCCTTTATCAAAACAAACCCTATCGGCTGAAGACCTGTTGTCGCCCGCTACAGTATTTGTGGCTGTCGCTGGCATGTTTCGGGCATGGAGAATTGTGGTGTTGTTTATGGTCACTGGGAGAGAGGGGTAGTTGGTAGCTGGCGCTTATCATTCCTCTTGGAACATGGGCCAGGTGGACCTCTCCCTGTGCTCACTGAACCCTATCTTTTACTGTAATGTTGCACTGTGAGCCTAACAGCTTTCCTGAGCTCCAGTGAGTCCTCTCTAGGCAAATGAACAGAGGGTCTGGAAGAGACCTCTGAATTTGCACCTGCCCTCGCTGAGGTCTGACACAGGGAGGGAGGCTGAGTCTCCTTTGGAGGTCTTATCCATTGGGGTGGGGTCCAACTCCGGAGGCCCAAGGGTCCTTGCCAGCTCCAGTCTCTCCCTGCTCAGTCCTGACGGTGTCACCTTGTGCCCTCTGTCTGTGGATCCTGGAAGAGCTGCCTCTGCTCACATCTGAATAGGAGATATACTAGAAGAGGGTTTTCATACTTTAGCCTCGGCTTTTAAATAAAATCAAACACCTTCACCAAGCCCAATGTGTGGCAAGAACTGCAGGCCCATCCTCCCCTCTCAGTCAGGGCGGTGCTTCTCGGCAGGCCACGGGTGG